GGCGCTACAAAATTTTCTGGGAAGTAGTGGATCTGGAACGGGGTCCACTCAGCCTCGTGAGGATAATTTAGGAGAAATTTGAAGGAAATAGTAGCTTCTGTCTAGAAAACCGAAATTAACTGCCGTGGGGTTCCGTTACGCTAACCATGCTACACCCTCTATCCGAAAAAGTTGGCACTAATTTGGCCGACAAGCGGCGGTTGCTCGGTCGGTATAGTTCGCTTGCGGACTCTAAGCCACGGAGTTTTAGTTTGTATTAGACGTCATCCATGGGCTGCTAATCTTTTAAAAATCAGATCTTCAAACTCTCCTCGTCAGTGTCATCACACGCATCAATATGTGTTAACTCCTTCCTCTTTAAGTAAGAAAATATTGAAGAGTGATTGAAAATCAGCCAATAAATTTCAGCTTCATCTGTGTGAACTATAAGCAACTCTGTGTCTGAACACAAAAGCTTACATCGGAGCAGACGTTTTTAGACTTTAAACCAAAGGGCGATTCATAATTAATAGGATTTAAATTACATATGTATTCTGTGTTCGAGAATACGTACGTAAGTGATAGAACCTTTCTTATCTAAAACAAAATTTTATATCGTTCACTAACAGATGAATATCTTTCTGTTTTTTCGAACTTATACTACAGATGCGTGTCTATAAAGGCGAAAAATCTACCAAAGTACTTGCATTGAAGGCCGTTCAGAGTGGGCGGTTTCTCTATTTTGTCAGATGTATGATAATCGAAATTTTAATTATGGTATCTAACATTACACTGTATTGAAATTACATCAATATTTTAAACCTAAACGTTACAATTAGCTTTCGCGTGTTGTGATTGAGATATCTGATCATTGCATGGCAGGACCTGTATTGGTAGAGTGGAAAAAATTATTTGTTTTGTAATGCGGCCGGCCGGCCGGCCGGTAAGTACCTCGGTATAATTCTGACATGTGGTTGGAAGCTGGACATCCCTGTCACTGCAGACCATGGGCGGGACGCTGACGGAGGGCGCTTTGTGGAGTGAAGAACGCCCGAGAGGGTACACAAGATATGGTTCCAGTTGCCTTTACTGCCGCTGAAATATCTTGTCTCCACAGAAGCAGTGTACGTATGCATTTGCTAAAACATCGGATGTGTATTTAGCATTACCTGGGATGTTTTAAGTGACATACAAATGATTCGAACCATCAACTGATATTCAAATGAGTTGGTGCAAGGTCGTAAGTTGATACCTCAAACTAACATCACATTCGTTTGGTTTATGATAAGATTATTTCAGGACTGCAGTATGTTTATAGTTATTGTTTTCGTTGTTCTTATTGTTCTTGTGTTGTCTTATTCTTTTGTTACTTCTTAGCCCTTATAGGGATTCTAGAGGCCTTTTCCCAGAAGATGATCAGGGTACAACATGTCTCATTGCCTGCCAGACCTTAGACAAAACAAATTACTTTATAATTGCTCCTTTTGGGAACGATTATGAACATATGTTCTGGGTAGACGGATGAAGCGGAGATAAGTGTTGAGCATATGTTCTGGGTAGACGGATGAAGCGGAGATAAGTGTTGAGCATATGTTCTGGGTACACGGATGAAGCGGAAACAAAATGTTCAGCACACCTATCACACGATGTTGCCTATTTATTGAAAGCGAATACTGCTGTAAAAGTGTCTTATCCACTCATTCATTTTACATATGCAGCACACAAGCTGAACAGAGTACCGAAGGATATTCTGGTAATGAATATATACTTTGTTCGCCGGTAACAGCAGTCGGGAGTACGTGTTGGAATTCAAAGTGAAAGAACCCACGAATGAGTGATTCCTCATGTACATGTAGGATCCTCTTATGTTGTGCTTGCAGAACCTGTACGTCCACACAATGCTGGACAGGTGTCGCTCAACTGCTTTTGCGTTTGATTTGGAGCACATTATGACTATACTGGAAAAATTCCGGGAGCCGGGATAGAGTAGTCGGTATAGCGACTGGCTACGGGCTGGACAGCCGAGGGGTCGGAGTTCGAGTCCCGGTAGGGTCAAGAATTTTCTCCACATCGTCCAGACAGACTCTGGGGTCCATCCAACATCCTATCCAGTAGGTACCGGGGGTAGAACCATCGGGGCAATAAGCTGACCACTAACTTTCACCTGGTGCCGAGGTCAAGAAATTGCGGATATATACATCCACTCCCCCATACGCCTTCATGGCGTAGTGCTTAATTAATTAATTAAACACAGGGACAACTTTTTTCTTTTTCTTTTCCCCTTGGCACTACAGCCCCAGTGGGCCTAGGCCTACCTCCATGAACTTCTCCGTTCACTTCGGTTTTTCTAGATCTTACACATACGGTAGGACTCCTTGGACGGATGATCAGCTCGTCGCAAGGCCTCTACCTGTGCACAAACACAGAAAAACGCACACACACAAACTAAACATCCATGGCCTGAGTGGGATTCGAACCCACGATCCCGGTTTCCAAGCGAGCGAAGACAGTACATGCCTTAGACCGCTCGGCTACCGTGACCGACCAGGGGCAACTTTACATTACGTAATACTTGTACCATCGTTTCACAAGCCCCTGAAAACGAGTTACGAGTTCTGTTCCACATTTATATTACGTATATCTCTAGCTTTTATGGCTGCTTGTATAAAGAGGAATATAACAATAGAGAATAGCATAAAGGAAAGAAAATGGATGATGTGAAATTAAATATGGAATGGTCTAAAAATGTATGAGTATACGTGAACAGAAATTGAAGCTTTGGAAGTAATCCTTATTTAGAAGGTTAAAAATAACTACATAATGACTCAGTCTTTAGCACAAAGCAATATCGGCCTCACATTCATTCAGGAAAAACCGCGAGAACATCTTTCAGTGTCGAGTTTTATTACTAGGTGACTCTGCTGCAAGCCAGGACAACCTTGCTAAGGGATGGATTATCACAAATGATTTCTGACGTCACTCAAAGGCACTGAAATCAGTAGCGTTAAAGGTGTGCACAATGAACCTGGAACTTGTAAAGTTCTCCCTGTGCTTAACTAATTAAGCACTGGACGATATGGAGAAAAGAAAAAAGTCTGACCTTACCGAGATTCGAACTCCGACCCTTCGGTCGTCTAGCCCATAGGCAGTCGCTGTATCGACTACGCAATGGCGACTTTTAACATATATTAGTCGAACTGGGAGCCTGTGCTGACAGACCTAGTCTCTGCATTTCCTGCTGTGGTAGATGCTGCTGCACGGGTTTCTGCACGCTATTTCCGTATGTCTGCGGTGCCTGAGGTTACTGGTGTTTTCTCGACGCAGTGAAGCTACGCAGGACTCTTCTGATGAGGTGTACTTAGAGAAGAACTTCCTCCCAGAGGATCTCTTGGGAGCTCGTTGTGCTCTTCTCCTTTGCAGTTCTCTCTTGTCATAGCTGCAGCTTCGGTATTACGCTGGGTGAGGTTCCTCTCCTCCTACTGGAGCTCGCTGTGTTCTCCTTTGCAGTTCTCTCTTCTCATAGCTGCAGCCTCGGTATTACGCTGGGTGAGGTTCCTCTCCTCCTACTGGAGCTCGCTGTGTTCTCCTTTGCAGTTCTCTCTTCTCATAGCTGCAGCCTCGGTATTACGCTGGGTGAGGTTCCTCTCCTCCTACTGGAGCTCGCTGTGTTCTCCTTTGCAGTTCTCTCTTCTCATAGCTGCAGCCTCGGTATTACGCTGGGTGAGGTTCCTCTCCTCCTACTGGAGCTCGCTGTGCTGTTCTCCTTCGCAGTTCTCTCTTCTCATAGCTGCAGCCTCGGTATGACGCTGGATAATGTTTCTCTGCTTCTACTATGATGCAATTGCAGCAGCTCGGCATACATTCTGCAGTTGTCTTTTCAGGAAATTCCATATACAGGTGGCCACCACCGTAACACAAACTCCGAGGCAGTTGCTTGCAGGTGGCCCAGACATGGCTAAAGTCTTGGCAGTTGTAGAACTGCGTGAGGTCAGTCTGATCTCTGTATAAATTTATCTTGATGATAATTTCGTTAAGGCAGGTATTCAATTAATTGGGTACGTGCTGGTATAGATGTATGTGTAAATTGAAAGGAATAGCTGACCGTTAAACGTTGATATTATTAGAGAGAAACAAATTGTTGTACATCCGACAGTCGTCTGATATTATTGTACCTCCAGGATCTGTATGATAGGTACCGACGCGTGCCCACTATTCCTACGGACCTGGACTGGAATAGTAAGGCTTTCTTTTTAGTTTCTTTAAATGGGGTGAGACTGAGTACAATTGGTACGTTTGCCACTAATTGGCCTATTGTACAAGTCCCGGATAATAGTTGATGAATGTGGAGCAGTTGGTGGATGAGAATTGGCAAGGAAAACTGAAGTACTCGGAGAAAACATGCCCCAGTGCCACTTTGTCCACCACAAATCCCACATGACCTGACCTGGGCTTCAACCCGGGCCGCGATTAACCGCCTGAGCTATGGCACGGCCTATGACAAGGCATTACTTAACGTAACAGCGTATGAATCTAAACTTCTATTGTTGTGGTAATATTCGCCACTTATCATTAACACTGAATCTGTGTACTGTTTAACAATGAGTTGTCACAGACCATAACATGAGTCATACAATTAAAGGCTGTATTATTGCTCATCGTGAGGTCTTGGTGTTAGTGTTGGCCCATTCATGTGAGCAGAAATCTACGAAAAGGATGACTGTACAAACATTGAGTATAGATCTTGTTCAGAAGTTTATGTGCCTGTTCTGAACACCGTGTGTCTTCTTGAAACGGATTCAGTCGCCCTAGTCTAGTATATTCACTATCATATCACATCCGAATATGCATCGACGGGGATTATGGAGAGCACCATAACATTTAAACAAGCAATGGGAACTTTTCTGTATTTAGCACTCGCTCCTGTTTCTCACGAATTTGTTTAGAATCGCAACGCCGTTTGCTAATGACATGCGGCACCCTTACAGGTGAAGGAGTGATAACAAGTTCAGTGTGTGTATTCGATAAGAGTTGTGAAACTTGCTTTGGCATGGCGTTAATTGCGACCTGAAAAGAGTGTACAGAGAGTTCTTTCACTGGGCAGTGCATCCGTCTCGCTGGTCTATTCTTCAGTAAGTAATAACTACAGGTACATACAGTGTTGTGTGGGATATTTCTGTATGACATGCTCTCTAAAATGTTATGCACACAGATCAGAACTTACAATTGCAGTTCTCCAGCCCCAGGAAACATTTTCCCCCAATAACTAATTTTTACATCGACATTTCAGTAGAAGAAAATGATATTTGAACCTGATTCAAGGACCCTGTATGGGCTTGTCGAAGTTTCCAAAGGTGAAGTTCTTTTTTCTTCTTCTTCTTTATGGGGGAATAGATTTCTGAGGATTAAAATCTTCTGGAATATGAGGCAGTATACTATATTATATAGGTATCTACCAAACCACACGGTGTTATCGCAGAACAACATAATCTTGTTAGTCACTGCTGTGAACACCCCAAATCCGGTATCTACGTCTCTTCTGGAAAAGACATTCATATTAAGATATGAAACAATCCTTTTCCCATTTTCAAGGTCATTAGAACCTACATTTTCCCGTGAGATAACACAATACTTGTGACATTACAGCTTTTATCTGCAGCCATCCACAGCTAATGATATGGTGAATGTTTTTGAGTTTAACATTTTTCTGGCCAAGTTCGCGAGTTTAGAAATTGTGAACCACAGAAACTGAAGACGTCTGAAACATGTAGTATAATGGACTGGTTATCAAGTCAGGATTTTATTAGTTGCAAATGTGAATACGTGAGGTTATTATTATTATTATTATTATTATTATTATTATTATTATTTCATTCGTGCTCACTTCATAATTGGCCCTTGGGCTGTTGAATTAACACGCAAGTAAACAGGAATCATATTATTATGATTATTCGCTCATTCATGGAGCTGAGCCCTTCTCGAGAAGCCACCAATTGTGCAGCTACCCAAGAACTTTGCAGTATTTTATGGAATCCGAAGGTTCATTGCCGTGTCCAAAAGAGCCCTCCACTGGTCCCTATCCTGAGCCAGTCCAATCCATGCCATCTAATCTCTCTATAATCCATTTTAATATTGTCCACCCACATACGTCTTGGTATTTGCAGTTGTATCTTTCCTTCTGACTTTCCCACCAATATTCTATATGCATTCCTTTTCTCCACCATTCGTGCTACATGCCCTGTCCACTTCATCCTCATTGACTTGATCATTCTAATTATACTAGGAGAAGAGTACACGTCATGAAGCTCCTCATTATGGAGTTCTCTCCAACCTCCCGTCACTTCACCTCTCTTCTGTCCAAATATTCTCCTCAAAACCCTGATCTCGAACACCCTCAGTCTATGTTCCTCCCTTAATGTCAGAGACTAATTTCACACCCATACAGAACCAGAGGCAAAATTATAGTTTTGTATATTCTAGTGTTTATGTTTTTTGACAGCAGGCGATAAGACAAATGGCGCTGGACTCAATGATAGCAAGCATTACCCGAGTTCAGTCTCCTCTTAATGTCCTCCTGAATCAGGTTTAGATGTTTTATAGTCGTTCCCAATTTTAATCTTTCCTTTACTGAAGTCAATTTCTTTTATTCTCTTGCTCTGGAGGAGTTAAAATTGCACACTCTGCATATTGGGAGGCACCGCCTCAATGTGCTCCTTCTTACTCAATCTTGCTTTCGTTTCCAATTCTGCCTTTCTGTTTTCGAAATTGTTGGTCTCCGAGTTCATGCTCGGTATATCAGAGACTTTTCATTGTTCAATGTTTGCTCATCTTCTAAAAATTGTCCCTCTGCTAGATGTGCAGCAGCTGCTAATGTCGTTTGCAGAGACGTTGACGTATTCGGAGCCAGGAATATTCTCCTCAATCTTTTTTTCTCTACGATGTTCCTCAGGGATCTCTTCTGGACCCGTGGTTTTCAGTGTATGTGTATTAATGACTTTTGTGATGAAATTGCCCACTCTATTACTTCTTTCTGACGACACCAGCATCTACCGAGCCGTTAAATATCCTGTAGATTGCAATGTACTACAGTGAAACATTAACTCTCTGCAATGTTTGTTCATGTATGTACATGTATGTATGTTGTGAATATTATCCTTTCTCGGGCTCTTAATAGCCTTAAAAATATTCGAATGAGAAGCAGGAGCTAAAAATAAGGATTCAGAAGATGACGAAAGGATAGGGATGACAACAGATCAAGGATTGTTATGTACTGACTTAAAATGCTTTGAAAATTTTTCAGCAATATCACAAGGTTCGATTGAATACGTGCCATCAAACTCAAGCTGCATAGAAGTAGAAATTCTTTTCCTAAAGAAGGCCATATATTTCCAGAATTTCTTGGGTTGCGACTTTAAATTTTCGTCAATACACTTCAACCATTTAAGTCTGTCAGACTTAAGAGTAGCTTTAACTGGCTTACGATAGAAGCCAATAAGATAGTAAAGGCTGTCTGATTTTTTTAAGCGTCTGTAAAACTAGTTCTTTTTCCTGATAGAATACCTTACGGAACCAGTTTTTTTTTCTTGGCACTACAGCCCCAGTGGGCCTAGGCCTACCTCCATGAACTTCTCCGTTCACTTCGGTTTTTCTAGATCTTACACATTCGGTAGGACTCCTTGGGCGGGTGATCAGCTCGTCGCAAGGCCTCTACCTGTACACAAACACAGAAAAACCCACACAAACATCCATGCCCTGAGTAGGATTCGAACCCACGATCCCGGCTTCCGAGCGAGCGAAGACAGTTCATGCCTTAGACCGCTCAGCTACCCTGACTGGCACGGAACCAGAATACCAGTATAGAAATTTCGGCTTCGAGTTTACGATGCCACTGGGAATTGCCTGTTCCATGGCATCTTGAACACAATATTGATGCAGGCGGCAACAGAATTGACAGAGATGGTATACACAAGACCAGTCATAAGTTAAGAGAACATTATAAAGCAATGTATAATCCCCAGACAAGAAGTTAATAATAATAATACTTTTATTAACACAGATCAAAATTTGTCATTAAGAAGTGAGAAAAGTAATCGTATATACAGTTAAAATGAACACAACTGGCATTTAAATTGTTAGAAGAACCATTGCTAATCTAATGTAATCTAATCATAAATAAATGAGAATATGCCTTGGTTTGTTTGTTTGTTTGTTAACGTTCTAAGTCAAACAGCAAGAAATGTTAAACTTGCATGCGTATTTAAGGAAACCTGATGATGTGCACCTCGGAACTATTTTTTAAATGTGTTTCCATTCCTTTGCTTGCGGGGGTGCAAATAAGTAATGTACATATTAGCGATATGTTTGTGTGGAATGCAAGATGACAATCATGACTATGTAACAATGGGAACAAAATATTTTTACACCATGAGTTGGTATTCTTATGTAACTTCTAATATTATATAAATGTGACTTTCCAATTAAGACTTTAATGAGACTTTCTTTTTGCATATTGAGTATAGGATGTAACTTTTATTTGCTACGTTGTGTGTACATCTGCTGAAAGTGCTTTTGTGATGTGATGTGTTTCGGTGAATTTGAGGGCACAACTTCAAATTTTTGTTCTTAACTCTACATGTGCGTCTAAAAAACTTATAATTAATTCACTGAATTATAATTATTTTTTTTTGTATCATAAATATTAAACAGATTGTTGGAACTTTCATTTGTTGGACATTACCTTTCGTTGGACTTTAAAGGATGGTGTATGCTGTACAGAATTATAAAGTTTATTTTGGACTCTATCCATCGTCTGATATATATATAAGACAAAAAGCACAAAGTTTCGGAGACTGAATCTGTCTCCGTCCTCAGGTGGATGGGGCAAGATAGACCTACTCAGTTTGGCCCGTTAGAAAGAGCTAGTGATTGAGACTAGCTCTTTGTAACGGGCCCAACTGAGTAGGTCTATCTTGTCCCATCCACCTGAGGACGGAGACAGATTGAGTCTCCGAACGTTGTTTTTTATCTTGTATATGCCAGACAATAGAGAGAGTCCAAAATAAACCTTATATTTCTGTATTACCTTTCGTTGTATTCAGCGATTATAAAGTAAAAGTTCACAGGCATTGAAGTAATACATCAGTCAAATCTCAATTACTTTGGCGCCATCCAGTGATACACTATTCTTGTAATTTTAGTTTAATTCTTGAAAGCAAACATGTGATTTGTTCTGTGGTTTCAGTCATGGGTCTACTCTTTGAAACCAGTCCTGTGGAATGGCTTACCATGGCTATTATTCTCTTCACTTCTGTGTGGTACTACTTTAAATCAGAATACAGCTTCTGGAAAAAGAAGGGCGTTAGATTCATTTCACCAGTAATACCATTCGGTAACATAAAAGATATGATTCTTTTGCGCAAGGCAACTGGAGAAATGCTTAAAGTACTTTATGACGAGTTTCCAGAAGAACCCTTTGTCGGAACATACGAACTAACGAAGCCGATGCTTATTATCAGAGACCCAGAACTGATCAAACGTGTGACGGTGAAGGATTTCTCCTATTTCCAGGTACAGTAATATAATTTAATGCAACTGTAATCAGGTTGTGACATACGAGTATACTTCTAGGTGCATATTTAGTAGACTTGNCCGGGATAGCTAAGTCGCTATAACGACGATCTACTGGCTGGACGAACGAAGGGTCGGAGTTCGAGTCCCGGTAGTGCCAAGAATTTTCTCTTCTCCATGTCGTCCAGACCGGCTCTGGTGTCCACCCAACCTCCTATCCATTGGGTACCGGGGGCTGTTTCCTGGGCGTAAAGCGGCCGGGGCGTGAAGCTGACCACTCACCTCCAGCTAGTGCTGATGTCATGAAAATGTGGATCTATACATCCACTCTCCCTTATGCCTTCATGACATAACTTAAGTAGTTAAGCACAAGGACACCTTTTATTCATTTAAAGATACTTTACTATGTGGTTGAAAGAAGCTTCACATATTTCTTCGGAGTTTTGGGGAGATTCTAATGAGATTTCATATGTGGATGTGCAGAAGGACTACGAGAGTGATAGTATTTTGAAGTTTTTATCAATTCATTTTTAGTCCTGCATTACTTTAGGTCACAGAGGCACTTCTGACTGTCCTTTACCAAGTATTGAACTCCGAGGGAAAAGATTTAAATAGAAGTTGCAAGTGTTATTATAAATTATGCAATATATGCGTAAAGCATATGGACTTTTACTTAAATCTTTACTATAATGAAAGTACTATATGTATGTCACGAAATTCACTTTTCGAGCTCATATATTCTCAAAGTCAAAGTTACTTTACGACTAGCGGTTTACCTCCCAATCAGTTCCTCTTTGGTGCCAGGCCCCTTGAGGACCACGACGAGAAATTTTTCTTCAACTGAACTCTTGCAGTCGTAGCCCTTATATACCATCCTCTCTGACCAAAAGATGAATTTGTCTCTTATGAATATGCTTGGCTTCTCGGTAAATGTATATTTCGCAATATAACATGTTATTGACATTTTTTCCTTTTGCACTACACACAGATCCTCTGCTAATACAGGCTTTGCCGAGGAGATCATGCCTATCTTACATATCTCATCCTACAACGGCAGCTTAGTCATTTGAACGGTCGTAAGCTTGACCACCGCCAAGTTTAAGCCTCTTATTCTTTATATTTTTTATTCTACTTTTTGCAGCACGTGGTATAGATATTAGGTAAATATTGTAATATAACGGCTCAAAGCTAGAATAGCAGGACCTATAATATACATCCATTGCTAGATAAGGACCAGTAAACACGTTTCTATGTCAGCAATACCCAGGCTATCGCTAGGCAACAGTCCGCTTAACACGTCATTCAACAATAGAGGAATTCTTTGAAGCGGTGTTTTCTCTGCGGTCCATGCCAAGTACACCATATTCATTAAGACTATTGCATAAAGCTTTTCTCCTAGCTGAACCACGAACTTCCCGGAAGTTTGTAATTAGTTGATGTACTGTCAATTTGTGCTGCCACATTTTCTCCAGCACTGAAGAATGCAGAATTTATTATTAGTAATTTATTATATAAGAGTACACTGTTGTTGACTACCATTAATTCCACCCAAGTTCAGAGAAAAATGTTGGATAAATTTGATATATTGTTAGAATCTGTGATATTTGTAGATATTTATCGATAATCGCTATTACATGCAGTTTTAACCACCGTTCTGTTTACGTGTGTTGCTTTAAAAGTCATGGCAACTAATTTTTTTTGGGGGGGGCAAACACTTTACAATGTAGAAAGTTCAAAATATACTTGTAAAAGGGCATGATATACCCCGCCGAATGGCTTAGTCAGATCAGGTAGATGTGAAGGGGCGTAGGTATAGTAGGCAAGAAAAATTGCACATTACGGAATGACTGTTTTTTTTTATTCTTTATTTATTCATTCATCTGACTTTTGAAGTAATCCACGTATAAGAGGAATATTATATTTCTTCCACTGTCACAGCACTTGTTCTCTGTTCCAAATTGAATTACCAAGTTTGTTTGGATTGCATATCATATTGGTTTTCCCCTGCTTGTATCAGTTCTGACAGTATTTGATCAACTGGTGACTTGTAACTTTTGAAATTTATAGTAGTAAATTCAGCTGAATATGTCTGGGGTTAGGTACTAATTGCTCAACGCTATATGTTTTAGTCTGCCTACCATTATTAACCTCATGTGCGATCAGTTTTCGACAGAAGTAATTCCTCCAACTATTCACAATGTTGTAGAACTCTGAAGTCCTTCTTACTCTACTGCTCACCCTTCTTCAGTTCAAAACAATCCTACAATTCTTTGTTCTTACTGTTTGTTTCCAGCTCATTAATTGTGTCTTCCAAAAATTCTCAATATAATTTCCAGAAATATCTATTAGTCTATCCTGTACCTTGATCTGATTGTCTCCACTCATTTACTTTGGGTTCTGCAGGCATTGTAATTTAACATGCATCCTTTTATCAAATAATTTCGAGTAATCTTCATCGAACCATGGCTTTTGGCTGCTTTATCTCATAATGCTGTCCGTGCCGTATGATACAGGAGTAGAAGATTATTTCTTCACAGCTTATTTTCTATCTCTTCTTCTACCTCTTAATTCTATATTTTAAAATCTGTTTTACGATTTTCATGGGATTAATCCTGTTGTATGTCATATAATAGCGTTCTTTGGGGCCATCTACACAACAGTTATATAAACGAACAAATCGATAATGATGTACCATCATGCATTCATTTGGTAAAGGCGTCGCTACATATTTCGACCCTCACAGGGTCTTCATCAGGCGAATTTATAGAAATGTGATCTTAGTCACTGAACTGTTTTTCCTGATATTGATCCGTATTATTACAATATTTTACCATTTGTTTTATTCCAATACGATATGTGGAGAGTTGATTCATATCTTCAATACAGAAGTCAGATAGTGAATAAAAAGAACTGCATAACCTGGTAATATTTATATGTAGCTGTATTCTACGCCGCGCCACATCTCAAGCGGTTATTCGCTGGCTTCCCACCGCGGCTGCCCGGGTTCTATCCCGGGTCTGGTCAAGTGGGCTTTGTGGTGGACAAAGTGGCGCTGGGGCGGGTTTTCTCCGAGTACTGCGGTTTCCTCTGTCAATCTTCATTCCACCAAAGTCTCCATCATCATCATAATCACCCGGGACAGGCTACAATAGGCCAATCTGTGGCCGCCGTGCCGAGTGGATCCAATTGGACTCAGCCCCCCGCTAAACGAATTTAAAAAATTTTAAATTATTTACTACTTGAGAGAGTAAACTTCCGGCTACATTTCCGGCCAGTAGTACCATTTTTGCACACATATGTTTAGTTAAATATAAAAGGGTACACGCAATAATAATTTGTGGGCATTATGTCCATGGATTACAAAAAGTGGCAGTTCTTAATTATCATGGGTAAAACCTCTGTACCATAAAGAAACAATGAACTACATTGTCCTTGCTTTCAGGACCGTGGGGTACCAGTTAACGAGGAACTTGAACCCTTAGGTTCCCATCTGTTGAATTTAACAGGCAAGAAATGGAGAACCCTCCGTTCCAAGCTCACACCCACCTTCACATCAGGAAAGATAAAGATGATGTTCCACCTGATGATTGAGTGTGCTGAGCAATTAAAAGACTACCTTGAGAAACCTGCACAAAATGGTGAAATTCTGGAAATGAAAGAGGCCGTGGCAAAGTATTCAACCAATGTAATTGGTCTTTGTGCTTTCGGCCTTCAGTTCAACGCAATTAACGAATCAGATTCAGAATTTCGTAGAATAGGCAGGCGAGTGTTTGAAACATCTGTCATCGCAGCTGAGTTAAGAATGTTGCAATCAGCTTATCCTTCTGCGATGAAAATATTTCCTATGAAAATTGTCCCAGATGAAGTTAATAAACATGTCATCAGAACAGTAAAGGAAGTGATGGAGTATCGTGAGAAAAACAACGTATCCCGTAATGATTTCATGCAGCTGCTCATTGAACTGAAGAATAAGGGGAGGGTACACGATGATGAACCTGTGAAGTCAGAAGACAAGTTGGACAGGACATCTCATAAAGAGACAGAAACCAATGTTGGTGAGTATATTTATTGTCATCGATTTGGGAATTTAATGTGACAGCTTAAAATTAAGTGTTTTTCAAGTGAAAGTTTTACTATCCCCCAAACAGACAAAAGCTTCAGACATTTTTGTTTTCTATGAAGACAAGGGGCACGCGGTAGCTTAGTTGGTTAAGGCACTATGCTACAACCCGGAAGGTCGCGGGATTGAATCCCAATGAGAATCCCACAGAGAACATCGCTTGCAACATCTTTTCTTTTGTTGTGTGACGTCACCGCGGACGTGATGTGTTCCTCTGTTGCGTGTGTAAGGACCATTACGTAGCAACGGGTATACATTCAACATTACATTTTCACAAACAGATTCACCGCTTTTTCGATGTCTGTTTCTCTTCGTTACATGCTTAAAAATACAAATATTTTTATATAATTACATTATTTAATGATTTTCGTTATTGTTTCTATGTATGCGTCTCTGACAAGCGATTTCTGTGTTACAGCATTATTCATATTGTCACATATTGGGTGTTGTCATGACGAATAATAATGGGCTCTGGATTAGACGACCGGATTTATTTGCGCTTCTTTACAATTACAGTCCTTTATAACAGCTCACACATCTAAATCCTTCTGGATGCATTACGACTCCTGTCTGACGAATGCCGTTTGAAGAATCTCTCGCAAGTCAGAGTTACTTCACGACTGGCGGTTCACCACCAATCAGTTCGTCTTGGCGACTTGCCCCTTGAGTCCCAGGACCAAAATTTTTATTTTCCAACTGAACCCTTGCGGTTATAGTACTTATGTAACATCCTCTCTGACGAGAGGATTGGTGTGTCGTTTACAGTTACTGCTGGTACTTGCCAGCGCAGTCATTCACAGGTCCGAGTCCCGAGGGACTATGACCATGTCTTGCTGTCTGAGATTCGAGACTTCCCAGACCTGGAGGACCAGGTCCACGTATTTATATCCCCCAGGAATAGTGTGTCCCTGCTGTACCCCATCTCTGAAATCTCCTGAACTGAAGTAACTTCCATGCGGACCGAATGGCGATCACCGCTTCCAAGGGTTCCACTACGGCTCTTCACGAATGCTTTGTCTCGGAAACGTGCTTGAACCGTTGCCTACTGAATGGATAATTCCGTGCCTGGTTCCATTATTCCGGCTTTTAGGCGGAGTTTTCCGAGCAGTTGTCTAGCAAACTGTATTTCCGGCTTGTTGTCACGGAAACACATGTTAGCAAGCCGTTGTCCAGCAATGGATTATTCCGGATCTCATGCTTCATGTCACATGATATAAAGAGCTAATCTCAATCGCTCTTTCTGACGGACCCAACAGAGTAGGTGTCTCCCATCCCTCACCTGAGGATAGAAACAGATCCGGTTTCCGAAACGTTGCGTTCTTCTGTGTCTTCTAGAATACAGAACGATGGGCAAAGTCTAAAAACCCAGTAATCCTGAGTGTTCTGCGCTATCAAGAGAACACTTTAGAATATACTTTTTTTTTTTGCTATTGGGGTGGGACTAAGTCCCTTGTACTGCGGTCACTTCTGGCCTATTGTACCAACCCCAGATGATAGGTGAGGGTGATTGTGGAACAATTGGTGGAATGAAGATTGGCAGGGGAAACCGAAGTACTCGGAGAATACCTGCCCCAGCGCCACTTTGTCCTCCACAAATCTCACTTGACCAGACCCGGGATCGAACCCGGGCCGCCGCGGTGGGATGCCAGTGACTAACTGCTTGAGCTATGGAGCGGCCCTTTAGAATATACTTTCTTTCTTGCAAGATTAAAAGTCATCAGTTTACATTGTGTCATTATATCTATATTGGCAGATTTCACAGAAACTTTGCTAGCATCACAAGCATTTATCTTCTTTTTGGCTGGATTTGAGACATCTTCCACAACACTAAGTTTCTGCCTACATGAACTGGCACTCAATCCTGAAGTACAAGAGCGGCTGAGAGAAGAAATTGATTCTACTCTGGAAAAGTATGAAGGGAAGATAACATATGATGCAATACACAGCATGTCTTACCTTGACAAAGTGGTCGATGGTGAGTAGTCTTGTGTATTAGGAAGAATTTCCTTTTTGTTTCCATCACAAAGAACAGTTGAATCACACACAGAAATATTTTTAATTTGTCACTAAAAATAGTCCGTTGAAATGCATTAGGACAGGTAGTATATAAGCTAGGATTTGTAATAACTTTGTTTAAAATATTATGCATACATGGTTTTGGAGGATTCTCTTAGTGGGGGGTGGAGTCCAACTGGGTCCACTCGGCACAGTGTCCACTGATGAGCCTGTTGTACCTGCCCTGGTTGATTATGATGATGGAGAATTTGGTGGAATGAAGATTGGCAGGGGAAACCGAAGTACTCGGAGAAAACCTGCCCCAACGCCACTCTGTCCACCACAAATCCCACTTGACCAGACCCGGGATCGAACCCGGGCCGCCACGGTGGGAAGCCAGCGACTAGCCACTTGAGCTATGGCGGCTTCAGTTTGGAAGATACAGTAAACATATATTCCTGAACTCTGTGTTGATATTGTAAACTTGTGGTTCGAATTTGTGAAATCTATTCCATGCCAAGAAATATTAGACTATTATCATAATAAATTTCATCACATGTTTAACTGTTAGAACACTGGCTTCATCAATAATCTGACATATGCTCATTTCAGAAACTCTCAGAAAATATCCTCCAATTCCTGTACTTCTTCGTGTGGTAACAAAACCATATGTAATCCCTGGGTCATCAGTGCATCTTGATGTGGGAATGAAGGTCTTGGTACCTATATATGCTCTACATCATGATCCAAAATACTTTCCTGAACCGGAGGTCTTTAATCCTGAGAATTTTAGTGATGAGAGAAAAGCGAAGAGACCACATCATGCATATCTGCCCTTTGGGGATGGACCAAGAGTTTGCATAGGTGATAAAAATGTACTTTTTGTTATGAATTGTATGTTACCACATATCAAGTTTTGTGAACAGTCTCACGTTCCATATCTTTAAGAACCATTTTAACGTTACTTTCTCATGCATGTTTGGGTCCTTTGACTGATTCAAATATTATTCCCTTCAAATGCTCTATATATGAAGAAGACTTGTATTTGTGAATATATAGCAGAGAGAATGAGGAAGAAATATTTCGTTTGATTATTTACAGTAATTCATTCTGATGGAGTTCTGTTTCATGAGTTTAATTTCTTGTAGAAATTACTTTGTAGAAAACCAGTGTATGACCAATTTACACTTAATTCTGATAGAATTTACTAAAATTCATCTTATTCAATCAATATTAGGATAGTGTTGCCATGTTAATGTTAATGCTATTGTCTGTGATTTCAGGCTTGCGATTTGGATTACTACAGACCAAGGTGGGGCTTACTTTCCTCCTTTCCAAATTTAAATTCAGTGTTTGTGAGAAAACAGAAGTGCCTCTAAAATTAGATCCTAAAGCAGTCATCACAGCAGTTACAACGGGAATATGGTTGAGAATCAACAAGCGTAGTGATTCTTAATCACGCTTTCCGATTTCATGCCCAACATATTAAGGGGGCCTGAAGTGTTGTGGTGGTGGTGCTGGTGGTGGAAGGGGGGGGGGCTCAAGGAAATTTGACACTGGATGAAGCTGGATGAACACAATTCATTTATTGGACTGAATACTGGAGAATTTTCACTTTGATCTTTTTGCATAATTTCAGCTGGAATAATCTAGGAAATTTATGTGGGTAAAAGGCATTACATTTCTACACAATATAAGAGAGGAAATATAATTTGTGCTACCTCTTCTTATAGGTATTGACATGTAATACTATCACAAAGAGTGAAATAAAGACACTCACAAGCATCTATGTGTCAAATGGGCACAGGCAAACTCCTACAAGCATGTCGAGTGTATATACAGATATTTCTGTTGTACTATTTTTAAAAATTCATTTTTAGTTTCTTGTAAGGGAAGGCATTGGACTATGTTCCATGGAGGTTTTGTGGCAATAGTTCTAAGATATTAGCTGCTGTTATAACTGGGAGCATATAGTAAGTTAGGGGGCAAGATTATGTCTAAGGAAGTGAATTTGTTTAGGGAGTGGTAACCAAATGAAGTTTTGAAGCAATGTACATTGCACCCTCTTTCTGATGATTGAAATTCTTGTTTCTTCTGCACTGAACATTTCACTTTAATTTTTTGATATGGGGAACATGAAGACACTTTAGAGTATTGTTACAAGCTGGAGTTCTCTTATTATGGTATGAAACAAAAAAAAAAGAGAGAGAGAGATAACCCTTTATTCAAGAGATCTGTATTTAAATGTTGCTACAATCAGTGGTAGCTCTCCTATCAGGCCAGTTTTGGCAGTGCTCCAGCTAAAATTGGAAGTATTATCATAGTTGAGATAAATTTACATTTAATTTTTACTATATTCTGGATCCTCCATATGAATAATTAGGTGGGTGTATGAGCAGCATACCAACTGACTATTAACTGAGGAGGGTTGACTGTAACTAAATTCCTATGTGAAAGTGAAGTATCAGAAGATTTACAGTGTTGCAAAATTGTTTACACCCACCTTTCATATACCGACAGCCCATTGAGTGTCATAATAAGGAGAACAGTAGAAACAGACACATGTTTTCAAGGATGATTGATTGTATTAAATTGTGTAATATGTTTGAACTTGCACTATATAGTCACATAATCATGACATCATTTTGGGTCTGGTCAATTTGATTTTTTAATTGTACAGCCTGATGCGTGACCAATGCTGCAGGCTTATAGGTGCATCAGAAGGTGTGCAAAGTGATCTTTGACCCATGCTTTCTGTCCACTAGAATTTGTAACTAAATAAATTTAAAATAAGGTATGTTGTCATTCGTTGTTATTAAACAGCAAATATAGCTACAAGACAAAAATTTGTTCTGGTATATACCTTATATAATGGGCAAGTTGTGAAGCAGTTTTGGTGGTGCAGTTGTCTCGGAGGTTCCACAACCACTGAACTCACAGAAGCAAAATTGGAAGAAGTTATTAAGATTTTATGAAATTACGCTGAGAAACCTGTGACGCAGAGTTGTGGTGGTGTCTCAGGTATGAGTGGGGATACACAGTGGTGTCCAGGCCCTTGTGAAACGGATATGCAAGCATGCATTACGTTCACCATTACACCAACCAGCTAAATCTAGTAATTCAGCTAGGCACTGGTCACATACTGGAAGCATGACTTCTTAAAAAAGTGTTTTGAAAATATAACTGTGTTTCATATTATTTCTTCTGACCATCTGAGCTCTTGGCTGTTTTGGATGCAGCTGTGTCCAGGAGACTTCCCAGACTTTCATACATGAGACTGAATTTTACCAGCAGGCTTGTCTGTACAGTTTACATGAACAAAGAAGAGTTAGCTGAGCATGTGGAAGAAATGTTAACATGTGGAAAATATGACAGCATTACTTTGAATTAAGCTTCAGTCTTACTAAACCATTCAAATCTGATAAATTCATGCTCTTGTTGTCATTTTTAAAGGGAAGTGCCATATGTTGACACTCCATATAATCAAATGCAGAAACATTGCATAGATCCAGTGTACACTGCAGGCAATATTGCCGCTTTTAGAACTGTATTAAAAGAATATGAGAGAACAAGTTGAATGTAAAAAAATTAACTCCAGCAAACAGTGCCAGCTTCCTCTTTCTAGAAGATTCTGCTACTGCCAAAGAAGCATGTGACATTATTTTAGTCTATGTCAATGAACATTTTTCCTACAAGAATCATTTGGTAGATTCCAAATTGTTCTATATGTAAAATTAGAAAGAGCTAATGACAAAATATTTATTACTGTTTGACAGTTAGGGTCTTATTTTTGTGTGTCTCCCTCTCTGAGGAGAGGACTGGTCTATCATTTTTACATGCTGCTGGCACTTGCCAGCACAGTCTTTCTCGGGTCTGAGTCCCTTAGGACTCGCTACCATATTCCACTGTCTCATATTTGAGACTTCCCTTTTCGTCGCCTCCTACGACTTGCAGGGTCACGGTGGAGGTATTTGACCCCTCCTCCACACAGGTTTATCTCATAATCCAAGTCCAAGTCACATTGCAACTGACGGTCAGTCAGTCAGTAAGTCTTGGTGTCGAGCCCCATCTGGGGCTCATGAGCAGATATTTATTACCTTTAACAGTTATGGTCTTGTTTTTGTGGGGCGCCCTCTCTGACGAGATGACGGGTCTGCCTTTTGTATGTACTGCTGGCCCTTGCCAGTGCAGTCTTTCTAGGGACTGAGTCCCTTGGGACTCGAGAATATATGTTACTGTCTCAGATTTGAGCCTTCCCTTTTCGTCGCCTCTTGCGACTCGCAGGGTCACGGTGGAGGTATTCGACCCATCCTCCACACAGGTTTATCTCGTAATGGCAGATAGTCCTCGTTATATGGCCTCGGCACGGACCGCACAGAAAACACCCCTTCCAATCGTTATTCAATTGTTGCGTGTTACACAGCCGTTACCTAACAATGGCCGTTTCTGTGGCTCTACCGTTCTTACTTTGAGCAAATATGCCACAATATTAAGCTTATTTTGTATAAAGCCCTAAATAGGTTAATAATGGTTTATGCTTGTCCTACCTGGGCCTATGCGGCGGGCGCGCAACTCCTGAAACTACAGTCTATGCAGAACAGAGTTCTCCGCGCTATTGGCAACCGTGACATGCGCACAACGATCGCGAACTGCAAGAGGCTTTTAAAATTCCGTAGGTGTACGATTACATAAGTATACTACGCAGGAAACCGGCAGAATTCGTCAAATTAACCGAAATCGAAACGTGCCGACAACTGGGCAAGGGAAAACCATGAATAGGAAGTATAAGAGGCTTAAATTTGGCGGGGCCAAGCCTGCGGCTGTTCAGGTACCTAACTGATGCTTCAGGATGTAAAAAAAATTAGATATAACCTGCTGCACAAGCCTGCATTGACAGAGTTGAGCCGAATAGCTTATGTAAATATTATTCTTTATATTAAAGTGACACAATTCGTATGGTGTCAATAAAGTATAGTGCCCTTAGGAAGCCGTGAGTGTGGGTACACTCGCGCTGAATTAGGGTGCAACAAATGTGGCCCCTTCTCAGAAAGACAAACCTTCCCTCTCGTCATAGAGGAGACGCCATTTCCAAACATATGAATGGCCTTGGGACTGTTAAAAATGGGTCCCGAAACCAAGAAGACTGTGCTGCCGAGGACCCAATAGCTATTTACTGCTGTGTTGTGCTTTCAGGAATTAAGGTGGGAGTACAAAGACAGACACACAGACACCGAAGTGATCTCATATGCTTCCTTTTATTTTTTCAGATTAATGAAAGTAGGCTCTAGCTATTTATCGACCACTGAGTTTGCCTTCTTTATTGCACCTTGTACTTGCGTTCCACAGGACATCTTTTTCTTTTCCTGAAAATATCTGTCACAGAAGTTCGGATTGTTTTCTGAGTCTTGAAGAGTTTCCTTCTCAGTTGCTATTAGTGATAACTCTTTGAGCTGTTAGTGAGCCTTTCCTGAGTCTGCGCCCCGCGTAAGTTAAGAATGGACCTCCTTAATGAGCCGTCGTTTAATAATGTTGACCATTGTGTTGTAGAGCCGGCGACAAGAGTCCTTTCCATCGTGAATATTTGCTGACATTCGTAGCCCCTTAACTGGAAATTTTGAGGGTTCTGTGTCTGCTTATGGGCAGCTCTTATTTTCTGACCATGCCTTTACAAGACCCTCGAGCTTATCTGTTAAAATATTCCAAATATTCCATGTATTTGTTCAGTAACTGATGTCACATTTTATTTGAATAATTTCGAAAAGTATATTGGGCGCGGAAGTACTCCTGAAATATTTTCAAATACAAATTAAGGCGGAGAATATAACCGTATTCTTGAGGAGAAATATGAATTTCTGCGTCCCGTTCTGGCCTGCTTGTTCAGTTGAAATGTGTTACTACCTTCCTTTTTGCTAACATAGGGAGCTTGCCTGAACGTGGGCTGAGATGCAGTGCCCCATCCCCCTCAGGGACATACTTGCTGGGCCTCTACTTGCTCCCAGAAACGGCCAGCGTAAGCAACAGAGAAATATCTAAGAAGCCCACGATTGGGCGGATGGAGTTGGCAGACATTGTATTATGTGATCTCATCTCCTTCAACTGTGTGAAGTACCAATGAATCACGGAAGACACATTTTTATTTTAAATTCAAATTGTTACCCTGGCTAACACGGATATCACGAATGATCCTCCATTGTACCATGCATAAAAGAGCTGCTGGTTCTTTGTAATTTTGGCAATAGTGCTGGAAAGTTATTAGTGGTTTTCTACGTGTATTAGTGGTTAAAATACTGCCAGGAAAGTTTAATCGGCATAGCGAGACTGAGGGTGTTTGAGAACAGTGTGTTGAGGAGAATATTTGAACAAAAGAGAGATGAAGTGACAGGAGTTTGGAGAAAACTGAATAATGAGGAGCTTCATAACTTGTACACTTCTCCAAGTATAATTAGAATGATCAAGTCAAGGAGGATGAGGTGGGCAGGTCATGTAGCACGAATGGGGGAGACGAGGAAAGCGTATAGGATATTGGTGGGAAAGCCAGAAGGAAAGAGACCACAGGGAAGACCAAGGCGTAGGTGGGTGGACAATATTAGAATGGATCTCAGAGAGATAGGATGGGATGGTATGGATTGGATAGATCTAGCTCAGGATAGGGACCAGTGGAGGGCTCTTGTGAACACGGTGATGAACCTTCGGGTTCCATAAAATGCTGGGAAATTCTTGAGTAGCTGCAGAATTGGCGGCTCCTCCAGAAGGGCTCAGCTCCATGAGTAAGTGAGTAAGCGAAGGGCTACTGACCGGACGGCTCAGAAAACGGGAATTGAGAGGCAAGGGATTTTTCTCCTCTCCACAGAGTCCAGAAGGCTCTGAAGCCCACCCAGTCCCTATACAATGGTTACAAGAGGCTCTTTTCCTGAGAGTAAAACAACCGGAGCGTGAAACTGACAACTGACCTCCATCTAGCGCCAAGGTCAATGATGGTGGGGCTAGACGTACACTTCCCCGTTCTTCTTCATGGAGTGGTATTTAATTGAATAAGCATAAGGGAGACTTTATTTCACTTATGGCTAAAAGATGGGTACTATAACGACATGCAAATTATGTATGGGAAGGTTCTGAAGAAAGTGCCACTGCCACCAGTTATGATGTCTGAATTAGTTTCTAAAAAGTTATGGCAGCAGAAAGGGCTGAATCCAGTCCCTCGACATTGACGCATTTGCAGAATAGAGGTAAGATCATGCACATTCGGCATCCCTAGTGACCAGTTCGGAGCCACAGATGCTCAATCTACTAGGCACTGCAACACCAAAATAACCCATATTTAGAGGTAAATGACGAAGAATGTATAAAGCAAAAAGCTAATATCCACACGGTATGCTCTCCGTGACAAGGACAGATGCAAAGAAAGAACGGAGAACTGTGGACGCCTAGCGTCGGAAGCGTAAATTTGCCGTCCATCAAACTAAACTCGTGCCGGAAAATAGAACGTCAAGTGTGAGAGGTACAACCGGTATAAGAAAAACTTAAGCGTTAAACCATTCCCCGATTTATAGATTTATGTTCTGTAATTTACAGGTTTCCAAGTGTGTAATTTAATGGTTCAAGGATATAAGTACCAACTTCCATAAAGACTGGTTCAGTCATTCGACAGTTGTTAGGAGGGATTCGCATGTAGCACGCAGATATGCAAACAGCAAG